GGTCAGGAAAATTGGAGTGGCCGAACATGAACGCTTTACGAACAATATTTTGCTACGAAAACCAAGTGACCTGAATTTCGATGAAACCGTTGCTGTTTTATCGTTAATCGTCGGGAAACAGGCTTCCTTGTTCAGCCGTCGATTTCACTGTATGAATTTGAGCAAGAATGCTTCTGAAGACTGGGTTACGTACGCAAGCAAAGTCGACAAGGGGTGTGAACGACTCAACCTCCGAAACATGACAGAGGATGAGTTCAAATGTTTTATATTTGTGTGCGGGTTGACGTCTTTTGAAGACGCAGACATAAGGACAAGAATCCTCAGCAAGATTGAGCAGAACCCAGACGTCACACTACAGAATATTACGTCGCAATGCCGGCGCCTGGTGAATTTGAAACGTGATACTGTCATGATAGAGGAAAATGGCCCCAGCAATGTTGTTCATGCGATTCAGAAGCATACTGTCCGTCAGAGTGACAAGAAAGTACCTTCGGCATGCTGGAAATGTGGTGAGTGGTATTTCGTTTATTTTTGTCTGTTTAGAAGACACCGCTGCAGCAAATGTCCCCATATTGGACATAAAGAAGATCGGTGTGACGGCGAAAAAAGGCAAGCAACCAAGAGGCATTTTCGAACCAGAACTTTTCATTCCAAGCTTTCCAAGGCTCGCGTTGTTCTGGCCGCTTATCAACGCCCACACGTAAACAGGAGGAAATACGTATCAGTGCGTATTAACAGCACACCTGTTCGTCTTCAGCTGGACACGGCATCAAACATCATGGTCAACTCAAAAAGAGCTTGGAAATTTCTTGGCAGCCCAGCATTAACCAGGACCAAACAAGTTGCACGCACCACATCCGGCAGTTTGCTGAAACTCATTGGTGAATTCAAGTGTTCCATGACTCTTGACGGTATCACTGTAAGTGGCATTTGTCATGTGTCCGATCGTCCCCGATTGGATTTGTTAGGATTAGATTGGATTGACAAGCTAAACCTTTCGGACAGGCCACTGAATACTATCTGTTACAAGACACAGGCGACGAAACCAAACATATTCAAAAAGCACCCTGACTCGTTTTGGAAGAAGGACTCAGAAGGTCGCAGTCTATGCACTAAGTCCTTGTCAAACCACCCTCAATCAAATGAACAAGCCAGAAAATTTATGCGTTCCTTTAAACCAGCGCTGTTGAAATCTCTAGGGGAGGGACCAACGGACGATGTCATTCGTGTTTTCCTTACCAACTACCGGACGACACCAAACCCAAGTGCGCCTAATGGGAAGTCTCCCTCCAAACTTATGTTTGGGAGGAAAGTGAAGACATTGTTTGATGCATTGCGCCCCCGAAACACCAGAGAGATCGGCGATGAAAACCAACCGGGATACTCCAACGGCAAATGTCGCCCTGGACGTATTTTTAGCCGTGGAGACTCCGTCCTTGTCAGAGACTATTCAGCGAATTGCTGGATTCCGGGGATTATATTGCGACGAAGAGGGAACGTCGTCTATGAGGTAGATATTGGCGGAACAGTGTGGATTAGGCATGCTAATCAGAATTCGACATTGCATACGACCTGGTACCATACAAGAAAGAAAAACGAATCTACCGTTGGACATCCTCCTTGAAACGTTCGAGCTGCAACCGAAAACTGCGTCAACAGAATCGAAGATTGGCGTCAACCCATCTCCGTTGCAAAGGAGAACTGAACGACGAAGAATTCCAGTAAAACGGTTGCAGACAAATCCCAGGTTGAGAACGTACGATCTATCTCCAAAAGAGGGGAATGTCAGGACGCGCCCAGACAGAAAAAAAGCACATGTGCAGAGAGTGACGCATCCCCAAGGTCACCGTCGGTACAACACTTCTAGAAAGCAAGTGTGTTGGCGGAGCTCATCAAACATGGCTTAACAACATACGACCAGTGTAGTGGGCCTGAGAGCGTTCACGACCGGTCCAGCGCCACTGGATGTACGGAGTGAACAAGTGAACGACCATATTTGACCACTTAGTCATCCTATATATTACGCAGACGCTCTGTATGTTTTGTCCTGGCAATACAGTCATGTCCCCAGTTCTCTGTCTTCTCCCTATCGCCTAGTCTGGCAGGCTCATTGCAGGCGTGACCAATATACGGCCACCTCAAGATACAACAAAACTGAAGGAAGGCAGTTTACTCAGGACTACCGTCTAACAGTGGCCAGTTCTGTATCGGATAGAAACTGATAAACGCCGTCAACCGGACTTGTCCAACAAAGCGACTAAACTTAGTACCGTTTGTACCCTCAGCCCTGGTTCATTCTCTAATTTGGTTTGCTTGTTTTTCTCGCTGCTAATGTGATTTGCCGGTACACTGACAAAATCAGCTGACTTTGGTTGCAAATTCCACCACACCGATATAGTAAAAACGACGGTTGCAACAGAAGACCGTAAAGTATTGTCATCAATAACAGAGTGCGCAGCTACGAAAAGTCAGGCAGTTGACCTTGGCCAAGCCTTCACAGCTCTGTTACACGAACGTGGCCTTCTAAATTTAACTGTCTATGAAACGATGCCGAATCAGACGCAGAATCTAAACGTGTCTTAAAGGTCCTTATCCATAACACGAGTTTATCCTGGAACCGAGTTTTCTGCGAACTTTGTCGTCTAATCATTTGCTATCCGCACCAACTATGTAGTTCTGCACGAGTTCAACGGACCGAAGCTAGCCAATGTTTATCTGCTGCTAACATAATCCGAATGCCTACAAAACATCGTGGCTCACAGACTTGAGCCGTGGCATAAGTGGCTTCAAATTTAACCACGCGCCGCTCATTGCCAAGCACTTCTAACGCAGTCGTGATTGTTGTAACGTCCACTGAACAAAACGTTGAATTACACACGAATGATAGGTCCCAACTATCAAAATTGATACGTGGGCTTCAAATTCTACGGTTCTGTGGGGGAGGGAAATAAGCAGAGCACGGATAACGATTCCCAACCGTTTGCGTTTATGTGGTCTAGCGGAATTTCCAGAGGGCCTACGAGACTGCAAACTAGCGACGGGTTATTTTGTAACCTACTACTCATTAGGTTGCTGAAAATTTGTCGACATTCCACGACCGGTTTCGCCCTTCTTGGGGCTCATCAGGTGGGCTCAGTCCCCGAGTTTCCGTCAACTTTGTGTTCTACTTGAACCCAAATTGGACTGTTTTTGAGAAATACACTCATTTGAAAAACTTATTTGGTTTTTCGAGGGACTCACCTGGAACCCAGCTGAATCTCTCGGGTTTGGTGTTTCCCGGCCCCAAAAAGGGCGAAACCGGTCGTGGTCTGTCGTCGAATTTTCAGCAATTTTATGAGTAGTACATTACAAAACACATGTATCGCGATATCTCGAATATCGTAGCGACTGAAACCTGAGATGGCCTGGTGGAGCACATGCAGTTGCCTGGAAACCGAGAGATTCAGCTGGGTTCCAGGTGAGTCTCTCGAAAAATCAAGTTGGTTCTCAAATGAGTGTATATTCGCTAGCGAAGGGTTGCATCAAATCAACAGCCAACGTACCAGTCAATCGAGAATGGAACGAGTGACTCTCTGGTTAGCCGAGTGTACTGGTTAGAGTGAAGAACGGATTGGACAACTGATCTCTTGGTGAGTGGTCATCCCGACAAAAATTATCGGTCGGGACAAGCGAGATGGGAGCAGTCGATCACACGTGGTACTAACCCCACAGATGCGACCGCATATTTCCAGCTGAATGGAAGAGTATCCTCGGCGCCTATTATATCTGCTGATTCGCCGATCTGAGGTATCTGCTGCTGACTCGCTCCAGTACTTAGTTGCCGGAAAAAGACTCACAACAGGGGACACAACAGCTATATTCCGAAAAAGCAAGTGCGAGAGCGTGAGTGCGTACTAGTGAGAGAGCTGAAGTTACAACGGCCCCACGCCATTTAAGTGGGACTTTGTGACATCGATCCAGGCTGTCTGATAGGTGTTAGTGAACACCCGTCAACATTGATCGTGCCTCTGTGAAATGCCTGAACGCTGCTCACATTCGGTCGTGCTTCTGCGGCGTGCATGAGGATTCATTGGCTTTTGCTGAACTGATTGAATGATTGACTGGCCTGGATACTTGCCGGCTTTCTTGTTGAGATTTTGCTGGGGCAGTAGGTTACGGGAGTTGTGAGGTTACTTTCAGGAATCTGACCTTCCTGATAGCGCATAAGCCATATTTTGGATGAGTAAATTTCAGTGCCCAGAAAGACAAAGAATAAATGCCAATCAGTAAAGATGGTTGAACACGAAGTCTACGAGCTACTGCAATACAGTCATTAGGAAACAACGTTCTCGTGCTGAGCTCGAGATACCTCAGTGGTTGAGGCACGAACTTACTGACCCGAAGGTTCGTAATTCCAACCCAACCTCAACAACTCGAATGCTCTTGTCTAGGGTTGGGAAACCTGGCAGTATCTTGGCCCTTGTGCTTCCTTCGGGTGGAAAAGCAACCATGAACCGAGAATTGGAGCTGGACGATTTGTTATATTTTAGTCAGTACGGAGGGGGGCGAGATGGACCAAGTGGTTAGAGCGCGAATTTACTGTCCGGAAGGTCCGTGGTTCGAACCTGACCTCTGCCTCTGGAATTCCCCTGTCTAGGCATGGGCGACCTGGCAGTATCCCATCCCTCGTGCTTCCTTTGGGTGGCATGGCAGTTAGGCACTGAAAGGGTGCTACAGCTGAAACAAAGTCAGTACGGAGTGAAAAGTAGGCTGTGTAGAGACTTCACCAGGAGTTATGTTAAACAATCAGAATCCAAAACTGTTTTCCATGTGAGGTGCCTCTTATTGGAATCTACCGAGGAGTACTGTAGGCATAACGGTTTTGGAGCACCAAGTCTGGCTTCAGTGGACCAGCATACCAGCGTAAACACAGTTATCGGACCATCCAACTTCGGATCGCGTTAGCTATTGAACAACCCGGTTTGAAACTCCGTCGAGTAGAATGGCGATCAAATCTACAAAAATCTCATTCCAGAAATAGGGACGTAGAAAGATATTTTCGCAAAATGGTATATTAGTAGCGTTTCTGTTTGGGCATTGTAGCTGGGAGTAAAGGAGATGCCAGAATCTCGTGTCATTATCCACTTCAATAACTGAAACCACGATGCTTTTAAGGAGCCTAAACCTGGAAAGTCAACTCCCGCGGACGTGTAAAGGTCTACGGGAAGCCCCTCATGAGTTCCCCAGTGGAGGTCCAGTGGTGTCCGACAGGGCTGTCCTCTTTCACCTTTCCTCTCCAACCTCGTCATTGATACGATCATGAAAGACTCACTACCAGCCTCTAATGCCCGGGCCTCCGCTCACAGACATCGAGTACGCAGACGACATAGCTCTTCTGGGATCTGATCCCGTGGTAATGCAAACAATATTAAATAATCTAAGTAATTCTGCCTCGCGGTTCGGCATGCGCTTCACACCTGCAAAGTGTAAAGTGCTACTGCAAGACTGGGTGGGCTCGAACCCTAGCCTCATGTTTGCGGATC